AGCACTCTCTCTATAGCACTCTCTCTCTCTCTAGCACTCTCTCTCTCTCTAGCACTCTCTCTCTCTCTAGCACTCTCTCTCTCTAGCACTCTCTCTATAGCACTCTCTCTCTCTAGCACTCTCTCTCTCTAGCACTCTCTCTCTCTCTAGCACTTTCTCTCTCTAGCACTCTCTCTCTAGCACTCTCTCTCTCTCTAGCACTCTCTCTCTAGCACTCTCTCTCTCTAGCACTCTCTCTCTAGCACTCTCTCTCTAGCACTCTCTCTCTAGCACTCTCTCTCTAGCACTCTCTCTTTCTAGCACTCTCTCTTTCTAGCACTCTCTCTCTCTAGCACTCTCTCTCTCTCTCTCTAGCACGCTCTCTCTCTCTCTCTCTGTGGTGGCACCATTTAAAATATTTAGGCGCATAGTTATGGGAATAAAGGAAGAGGTAGTGAAGGTAGAGAGTGTGAAAAAATAAGAATGATGCACAAAGGGAGGGAAGAATATAAAATACTGAAATAACACGTGAATCTAAAAACAGAAAGAACACAAGACGATAAAAAATAATGCTGAATTAATTAGGTAAAATAAAGCAGAATTTTATTTCAACACTATCAAATAAATCATAGAAGAGAATTACGGTAGGTAATTAATAAAGATGAAATTAAATAGTCATAGTGGTGGTCTTCGAGTTTTTTCGCGGCATCAGCGCTCTCTCTCTAGTTTAATTCTAATCCAACGGCTTTTCGCTTTGTCGAGACTCGAAAGAAAAGCGTTTGTCAGATCGTATATGCTAGCTCATATTTCTATTAGCAGACAGAAAGTACGAGCAAAGAGGTGGGTAAGTCTGTATCAAAAGAACCGACAGACTGTCCGAAAATGTTTGCAAACGAAGATGAGCGATACCCGCTCTTATATAATATAAACTAATAAAACTTCTTTTAAATAAAGAATGCTAAGTAATCCACTCAATATTTGTATGTACTTACTTTATACTTATAAGGATGGTAAATGCTATGAGCAAAGATATAAGTGAGATTGAATATCCCACTTCCGAGATAGTCCTCAATGTTGGAAGATAAGGCTGTAAAAGAGGGTTGGAATCAATAAATTGTTGACATGATATTCACTGTAAATATGCTAGAATTATATTTACAATTTCTATTACCGTTATTATTATTACTATTGCTAGGTCTACTACATTCCGTTAAGGAAAAATGCCTTCTGTTATGGCTAGTATTCATCATTAACGTGTTACAAAAAATAATCTATATTACTAATATCCAACGCACGTAGAAATTGAAAGAAAATTTTGCAGTTTCCATTTACGTGAAAGAGTGTTAGAAACCAGAAACACAGGAAAATTCTAAAACAATGACACAGTTTAGATATTGACTCAAGAACGCAAATATTTAATTGTGTATTCCATCTATTATCTTATTGTACATACCGACTGAATTCTCATAATAGCTGTATCACAGATTGCGACACATGAGACGTCATGTAGAAAGGTTCTAAGCAAGAGGCCGATTGCCATTAAATATTTCTATTCACCAATTATTTTCATATTCGTAATACAATATGTAAAGAATTATTGTTGTGCTGTGAATCCGTATACGCTATATAATGTTATTGCAACATTAGGGAAGACTGAGCTTGTTAAAATATGTGATTTATTGAAGTGATATTCAAGAGTATTTTATTTGTTCTGGAGCAGTGGGCGTGCTACTTTTTTTTGGGGGGGGGGGGAATGTGCGTTTTGTTCACCAGCATTTTTGTAGTTGCAATTCACTAGTATACACATGTGTCACGTAACTGTAGCACCTCCTGCAGTTTTTGAACGAATGAAGTTATTGCAATACAATTATCACGGATGTGCATGGGGGAAAGGGGCTAGTTTATACACATATTTTTATTTTAACACTTTGTTTTTTAGGAGATATTGAAGTAACTTAGTTTTTTCAAATGGAACTATACTTATATTTTAGTTTATCATGATGAGCGTAAAAAGATGTATCTAGTTACGGACATATTATCCATATATGTTAGAGAAGCATTTCTTTGAGTAATTTTATTTTTGCGATTCTTGTTTAACGGATACTGAAACGCCCTGAGCGTGCACTAGCAGTGGGCGAAGTGCGGCTTGATCTTGACTGGCTGGGCCTTGACTGGAGTGCTGCTTGACTGGCGTTCGCAACGGATAGAATCAATAGAGATCGAAGACATTAGTGCGCGTTGGAGTTCAGACCTTAGCCCACGCAAATATTTTTGCGTGTAGGAAACGCTTTTGCACGTTCAACGAATGTTACACTAGGCGTGTTTGAAGTAAGTTCCGCTTTAGTGTACAGCCATGAAGAAGACCACGATATGTTGGTCGAAACGTCGGCACCTAAACCTTTGCCGCAGCGTCACCCGGACAGCCCAGATCATGAAGCTTACGACATCATTTAAGTATCGTTTTGAGAGAAACGCATTAAAATTTGATTTACAAAACGAAGTTGATTTTTACATGAAAGCATTTCTTTAACTATCTTTCTCAATAGTTGTCACCATTATTGTCATTTTTCACAGCGGAAACCAACTTTTATATGCCTTTTGCATAGAAAGATGCCGCGATTGAGATCTTATTACGAACCATTTCTTTTCTGGAATTTTTTCTTTCACTTTTCAACCAATTCATCATTGACACCTGAGGTCGTACACTCCGTGTTTCGTCATGAAAATGGTTCGTCTATCATTCAATTGTCTAACTCACTTTCTCACCATTCCATCACATTACATTTTCACGACAAATCTCTAGAAGTTGGCAGAGAATTTCAGCTAGATTAATATTCCTTGCGTTCAACTAAGGCCTTCAGAATTCATTGCTTTACTGGCGACCTCTTTCTATGAAGGGAGCATAGAAAATTTGGTTTCTCGCCGTGACAAATGTCGGAACAATGGTGACAACTATGTAGAAAAATAGTTAAAGAAATGCTCTTTTATGTGAAAATAAATTTAATTTAAAGGGAAATAATACTAAATGTTTCAGAGGACGTAAATAAAATAATTTCAAATTTATAGGTCATTTTAAAATTAATAAAATGAAGAACATTAATGCAAAGCAGATCATTAATCACAAATCAATAACTCCACACGTACTCTATTCACAGTAATTACAATGACATTCCAATTCACCTCACCTCTATGAAACTTTCGTTGACTGACTTGTCCACACTGAGTACGAGGGTGGGAGGGCTGCTTGAGCATTGCGAGAAGTTGGTCCAAGACTCGTATTCGCTCTCCTTTGCTCTGAACCAGACGCCATTGCTCAAGCATTTCTTAGATGCGTTTTTCTAAAAAAGGCAAAAGAAAATATGTCAAAACAATGTATTCCGCTTTACAGAAATGACTGGAGAAATTAGTGTTAGAAATGACAGGAGGAATTAGGCAGATAATGCAATCACAGCCATTTAAACAAATTTGACCCAAAAGTAAAATTATCTGAAAAATATTATGGGGATATTCTACGTGAGTCAATATTTCCGAAAATGCAAATATTTCCTAAAACCATCAGGAGAATTTAGAAGCTGCAACCATGATACTGAAAGGATATCCAAGAGCTGAGCAACCGAAAACTTGGTTAATTTTCTAAATTGCTGGTTTACCGGCACATATTTTGTTTTAGTCTCTTTGTACTGAAAAGAAAGTGTGAAATTGTGCCTAAGTTCCGAACTCCTCCTTCTTACAGAGACAACAGTTTACGTTATTTGTTTACGAAGTTTGGGAAATTTCTGATGGTCGAAGCATTTGAGTTGATATAAGTGAAAACATGTATAAAAATAGAGTACTCCATCTTTGTTTCTTTACTATCCGTTTGGGAACGCCTGTTTTTGCACATCGGTGAACAATAGAAAAAAGTGAAAAAACTTACGCGCGGGTCGAATCCGAAAAAGAACCAAGGGCAGGCTCGTATCACCGTCTCGCCGGCTCTCGTAGCGTTCCAGCACAGGATACCGTCCCAAATGGGGGGGCAGTATTCTCCTGTAAATTATAAAAAAGAATGGGGACATTGCAAGTGTAATATTACTTCTATTGCTAAATCTTAGGTATTATTTGAATGAAAACCATTACATTCTACGAATCAATATCCTCTTGACATATAATTCGTAAAACATTCTCAAAGAAGATTTTTCTTAAATTTGTTAAACGAAATGTTGTACATGAATGTACTTGTAATATGAGAGTGATAGTAAACCAAATATCAGTTCTTTTATCAGAACACACATTCAGTTAAATGACCTTACATTTTTTGCACGAATTCCTAAATTAGTGCCTACTACTGGGGATCACAAGCGATGTGGATAAACGCATGTCCCACCGACTATAAACGTTAATTTTCGACGTAACAACCAAACCACGGGCAGGAGAGAAGGCAACAAAATTTTGAGTTGACTATATCTGGAACACATTGATGCGCATCTTACAGAAGGTGCCTGGGAATTATGGAATAGAACTAACAGTTGGATTTTTGTTCTTCTGGCAGACAAGACGGGCAGACATTTGGCCAGAGAGAATTTTCGTTGAATTCTTTGAATTTTCTAAACTTACAAAAGTTAGAAATCGGGAGAGAAAGTACGTGAAAGAAAACTGTTTTAACATCAGTTTTTTTAAATTTTTGATGTGTGTCTCCAATTTTCCTTGTAATTCGAACGTGATTATTTTTCTTTGTATTAATTTATCTACAGATTGTCAAGAAATATGAGCTTTAATTGTTAATTTTAACTAAACTGTTTATTAATATTGTTATTCATTTTCAGTTTACCTCTTGATAAAGGGATCGCGACTAACCACGCAACGTTTCGATCTATCTAGAAAATAAATGAAAAAACTTCACAATTCTACTTCTGATTGTGGCTAATCCACAAGAGAACTGATCATAATAGTTTATTAATAATCACCATGGTTGATAGATCATGTAAGAAAGAATACAATAATGTATATTTCTCAACATAATTTATTTTCTATGCGACCTCATTGCAGACAGTATCAACGGCAGTACTCACCAACTTTGCCTCCTCTGTTCGTTGCGTTGTATTGTACTCCAAGTTCTTTGCATTCAAGCAACTCCTTTGCGCGAAAATGGTGTTGTATGGCCTCTGGGGAAAGTGAAGATTCCTGCAAACATCAAATTAGTATTTATTACAATTGCTAGACAAAGACGTCACGGATTCTTCTTCAGAGTTAATTAGGCGAACATTTCATGTTAATAAAAGCATATCGTATTGTACATAGTCAAGAGAATATAATACATATTAGAGACATATGATGAAGAAAAATTTAGTATTCGATCCTCTACTGCAAATGGATTACAATTTCTGAGCTTCGTAATAATCATAAACATGTTTCTTTCTCGCATACTACATACATAGTATAGAGAAAAATTATGAAATGCTGCGGGTAAAAAACGGTGCGTTTTTGACAGTAAACCCCGTATTGCTGAGCCCTGGTAATAAAGAAGTGAATAAATATTTTTTCTGTGGTTAGAATAGAATTCATTGTTTTGTGAGTCTTTGTTACAGAAAATCGATTAACGGCAAAAGTCAGTCAGAGTGTCCGTTCGTCCGTCAATCCGTCAGTGAACGACAGAGGTTAAACCGTAAGCAGGATTTTCTCCATAATGCATATTTCCCGATCGGTCTGGCTGATATCATGGCCCCTTGAAATTCAAATCTATTTTATCTATTTCAAATTTAATTTTTGGGATTTCTTTACACCATCCCTCAAGGATATTTTCAAAATTTTCTCAAAAATGGCTGCAATTGTTTTGATTTAACTTTCTCCTCGGTTAGCATTCAGAATGGTTAAGCGAATGATGCAGGGGTCAGTTTCGTTAAAGAGAATGAAATTTCAAAAAAATCGCAAAAGTTCATAATGTTTTTGGGGAATTTTGCAACTACAATATAATCGGCTTGTAAATAAAATTTGTTTATACAAATTTATGTGAAATGAAGGCAATTTGGAAAACAAGATTTTTCTGCCATATCATAATAGTCAAACCATATTATATCTTCCACTACCTTGATAGTGTATGACATAATTATCTGCAATTTACGTATATGTTGTTTCCTTTCTTTGAACTGACATTCAGAATGCCTGCCATGGTTTATAAGATTAAATCTTTCTTACTTGGAAATCCTCTTGAGATCAATCATCACAATTAGTGAAAAAATACTTTAAGATTTTTTATCCAACTCCATTTAACGCGATCTTATCTCCATGGATTTGTAAGCGAAACATAGAACACTAAAATATTTCCTTTCCAATATTTATTTACACATTGTCCATCACTTAACTATACCCATATCATTCAGATACGCACAACATCAGCATATTTCTGTGTCAAAACTTCATTCACATTTAAATTAAAGAGCATTAAATACAGCTAATTGTATTATGTACAAACTTAAAGTAACTAAGGAAATTAACAATCCTAGTGAGCTGTATTAAGTAAAATCTGTAAAATTTCAAAGCGCAAAATTTTTTAATGAGAACGAAACCGAATACCTAGCGGTCCTAGAACACTCTTTGAAACCCTGCAGGCGCTGCACGACACTGCATGTCACTCAACTTGACGGCACTACAAAACTGCAGTGCCCAACACCCTGTACAACAATAGCACTGCAGCTCTTAACTGTACTGGTCGCCACTGCACTGCATGGCTCGGCACGGAACGGCACTTTCCTCTACTTGATTGATTTATTGTTAGTGAACCCGGGTGCGTCAACTACCAAGGACAGTGTATGACGTAAGTGTAGTAACTGCGTATGCTCTAAACGTGGCGGTGGTCTTTCCCCACTTTGTGTCGAAATCCGGAGTCATAATCAAGTTATGTTCCATCATTTGTGGAGTTGACTGGAGTACAATTTGATTAAAACTGTGCATTATCGCGACCAATTTCTGCTGTCAATGTCTTTATATTGTTCGGGTGGTAGGATTAGAAGGAACTTCAAAATTACAAGCAAAGAAAAGGCTACGCTTGTAATATTTTGAAATAGCGGTCAAGCCATGAGTTCATACACTTTTCCATTACAATACATTAACAGAATCGAGAAGCAATTCTAGGGCTTTTCTATTTTGAAGTTTCAAAGGTTGAGCATCTGGTTGAGCATCAAAGCAATATAGTTAGCTTTTATAAACGTAGCACTGGAGGTTTTTTTTATTTCATCTGAGGTAAACAGTCACAGAGATGCTATCGAAAAAAAGTAAATCACCGAATAAAATTCTTGTGACATATTTAACTTTGAGAGCTTGCTCTCTTCTATATTGCTGTCTGTGTGTGATACGTGTGTCAACATTGATTCTTACGAGAGTCACAAAATATAGCTGGTTCGTGCAGGGTCAGTGTTTTTATTTCTTGTAAAAAACACATTATTGCCACCCTTTATATTCCCTTCATTTCATGCGAGCACACACTTTCTTTGTGGTTTCTCCAAAACACAGCTCAATCAGGTGATTGATGTTTATGTATGGGTTCGTCACTTGCAAGGTTGTTACTGTCTACTGAAAATTTTGATTAATAATAGTAAATATTTTACTAAAACTTAGTTTAAATTATACTATATATTTATGGTTATTAATATTTAAAATGTTTATCTTATATTCTATTTAGCATCATTAACTTACCATGTTTAATTAATTTGTATAAAATGAATTTTTTAGTGAAAAACATTTATTGCTAATGGGAATGTGAGGGTTTAGCATTAGGTAATTATATAAAGAGATACATTAGATTGGGGTTCAAGTGTCGCTTGATGCTTCCGCTACCTGTTGGTCGTACTGTAGTCTCTCCTACCGGAGGATTGGTTGGTTGGTAGTTAGTGACACCAGGCGCGTAGACTACTGACGTCATTAGTCCCGTAAGTGTAGGGCATTTTCCTCGGGAGGTGACGGTGTTTTCCCCCGCTGGATAGAGGAGTTTTTCTCAACCAGGTATCTCCCACCAGCGGGACACCGCCCCAGCCGGGACAAGCTCGCAGCTCTTGACGGCTCTCCCGACGTGTGTGGTAGTATAGGGAATGTTAGTGTGAGTAAGTAAGGGTTGAGAATAGGGCAAGGAAGAGGGAGGAAAGATCGTGCGCGCTGCGTAGCCCGTTTATTAGGGTACTACGCAGGCATACGGCTGGTATTCATTGGAGAAACGACGAGAATCCTCCTCCAGACAGCAACGGAAATTGACCTAGCTGACAAACCAGTGCCGGAAATTCGTCCACCGTCGGGACTCGAACCTACGACCTCCCGGTCAGAGAGACTGCAGTGACATCAGATGCTGCCCTGAGCCACCTCCCTCTCACTTCAGCCCCTCTACTTCACTGAGCAACTAAGGGCGCTCCACTGCATTGCATTGTCTTACTTCACCGTCTCGTACCTCCCTGTAGAGCGCCCTTTTCACTCCAAATGCGCCTGTACTAGGTGTGGAAGCGGCGACCAGAGCGTCTTGGCAGTTTCCCTCGGTGGAAGCGGCCGAGGCGCAGTGTGTGGGAGG